GTAGATATATGCAAAAAGTGTAAAAAAAAAACGCTTTAAAAGCGGTTTAAACTTACCTTTGTCTTCCCCCGCGCGCTCCTGTCCGAAAATGTGAAAATTCTCGGGCGGCCGCAAAGCATCTTGGGGCGGGCACAATGCGCATTTCACATTTTCGGCCGGGAGACGAGGGGCACAAGGTAAGTGTATGGACGCGTGCACCTGCATGCAGACACTGTGGGACATGAAGTGCCAGCAAGCACAGAGGAGTCAGCGGTGGATCGGAGATCCGCAGCAGCGCTGGAGGGACAGATGTAAAGGACAGGAAAGAAGATCAGATTAAGAGACATCATTTAAGGTAAGTGCTGACATTAACATTGGGGGGAGGGAAACATTTTTTTGACTTTAATGTGGAGGCTGCAATCATATTTTTGTTTATCAGTCTTTTTTTCTTTATTTTTTCCCGTGATCCTGCCAGTAACGCACTTCCTGTCCGAGGATGACAACGCTCACTTAATCTGTGGAGAAGCTGGGTTGTCGACCTAGGACAGGAAGTGTGTTAAGACCGCAGAATGTCTCCCCTTTTCCATCTCCATAGCATAAGTGGAAACTGTTCTGTAGTTCCTGTGGAGAACTGGGCAGAGCTGTTGAGACTGCCAGAGACTTTGGTGTGACAGAGTACAGGACAGTACTGGATTTCTGCAAGGATCAACCTTTTTTTTTCCCCCCACTTAATGAAGCAATATTACAAAACACTTTCAATTGTATATTTAACAGACCAAAAATGAGCAAATATAAGACTAGGATTTAGACTTTAAAGCCCATCAGTTTTCTTTCGCACACTATTGGTGTTTCTGTTTTATGGATGTTTTGCTTCTGTAAAGCCTATACAGACGCTGTATGTATGATCGTCTAGTGAATGACCCTGATGTACAAATAGTCCAGTGCTTTGACAGCAATCCCCAGGGGTGTATGGATCACACAACTGTATAGTCAGACGTAGCAGCACCTGGAGGAAACCCACACAAGCACAGGGAGACCATGTGAATATGTGTGGAATGCTGCCACTCTTATGCCTTGTTTAGGCATAATTCTCCAAATTACAGATGTATTCCATATCCCAAGGCTCTATGCAGGTTGAACAATATCAACCTCCTGCCAATAAACTGTACCAATGCTGTACTGAATTATAATGTAATAAGAAGAGCCATGTGTGCCCATCTCCTACCAAAGCAATTTGATTATTCTTTCAGTCCTTATTATCCTGTCTCCCAGAAATAACCCTTCAAAACTATGCTACTTTGTTTTCTTTTTATTAATAGAAGAAGGGGCCAGATATAGAGATTTGAATCTAAACAATGAAGTGTGTGGGAGTCCTTCTTTCTGTGAACATAGCACGGCTTCCAGGGGCTGAATATAAATGAACAAACACCTTTCCTAGTGAGGAGGCGGATAGGTACAGTACATACTGGTGCATTGGAAATAGATTCCTGTTGCGGAGCACTGCATTCTGTAACTCGTTCATTTCCATGTATTGGCAACAACTATTGCTTTTATTTCTGAATTGAATTTAAGATTCAAATAGATATACAGGTGAAACTCGAATAATTAGAATATCGTGCAAAGTTCATTTATTTCACTAATGCAACTTAAAAGGTGAAACTAATATATGAGATAGACTCATTACATGCAAAGCAAGATAGTTCAAGCCGTGATTTGTCATAATTGTGATGATTATGGCTTACAGCTCATGAAAACCCCAAGAACGCCAAATCCACAACCTCAAAAAAGTAGATTATTACATGCAATCAATAAAGCAAGGATTGTACATTGAACAATATCGGACCTCTGAAAAGTACAAGCATGCATATGTACTCAGTACTTGGTTTGGGCGCCTTTTGCAGCACTTACTGCAATTACTTTTGCACGATATTCTAATCAAGTTTCACCTGTATATGTAGATTGAACCTTCAGCAGCTATACCATATATATCTGCCCCAAGATCCCTATGATATAGGACAGTTACACATCACTTTGCAGTTTAAAATGAGATGTATCATTGCAATATTATGGTAAGAAAATATGGGGTTTCCTGCTGTCCTGAATGTAGTGCGTTTTTAGGAATTTAATATTGCTAAACAATATATAGCCCAATGAGATTGCAGTTGAGACGCGCGCACACACACAAAACCTCTACAGAAAGAAACATGCCGGATGCTATTGTATAGCCTCCTTCTGAAAATGCTGATTGCCTGGCAGTCTCTGACTCCAATATTTTGAGTCACAGATCTGGAACAAGTATACAGTAAGCAAAGTGCGACACTCGTGACCAATCTGTAACAACTTATTATGGGTCAGTAGCTCAAATGTAGTGGAACCTAGAAAAGCATAATCTGGGAAGAAAATTTAGGAGTGTGTGTATGGGAATGTTTGACCATTCTTCCAGAAGCGCATTTGTGAGGTCAGGTACTGATGTTGGACAAGAAGGCCTGGCTCGCAGTCTCCGCTCGAATTCATCCCAAAGGTGTTCTATCGGTTTGAGGTCAGGACTCTGTGCAGGCCAGTCAAGTTCCTCCACCCCCAAACTTGCTCATCCATGTCTTTATGGACCTTGCTTTGTGCACTGGTGCACAGTCATGTTGGAAGAGGAAGGGGCCATTCCCAAACTGTTCCCACAATGTTGGAAGCATAAAATTGTCTAAAATGTATTAGTATGCTGATGCCTTAAGATTTCCCCTCACTGGAACTAAGGGGCCAAGTCCAACCCCTGAAAAACAACCCCACACCATAATCCCCCCTCCACCAAACTTTACACTTGGCACAATGCAGTCAGGCAAGTACTGTTCTCATGCCGACCACCAAACCTGGAAACATCCATTGGATTGCCAGACAGAGAAGCGTGATTCGTCACTCCAGAGAACACGTCTAGAGTCCAGTGGCGGCGTCCTTTAAACCACTGCATCCGACCCTTTGCATTGCACTTGGTGATGTAAGGCTTGGATGCAGCTGCTCGGCCATGGAAACTCATTCCATGAAGCTCTCTATGCACTATTAATGTGCCAATCTGAAGGCCAGATGAAGTTTGGAGGTCTGTAGCTATGACTCTGCAGACAGTTGGTGACTTCTGCGCACTGTGCTCTTTAGCATGCACTGGACCCCGCTTTGTCATTTTTCGTGGCTTACCACTTAGTGGCTGAGTTGCTGCTGTTCCCAGTTGCTTCCACTTTGTGATGGTGCATGTTGACACCTATGCAACATGATTCAGCCAGATTTTTGGAAAGGTGCTTCTTTTGGTTGCACCATTGACTTCAATTGTAATGCATGAAAACACATGTAACATGCATTTTCATCGGTTTTAGTGCATGACAACCAGCCCTCACCCCCTAGCAACCCATACTTGATATATCCATCATTGTTTGTTACAGTATTTTTAATGCAGCGTTGCTGGTTCTGTGGCTATTGATCAAATAATAGTATTTTTGTTTTTATTGCTATGTGATAGTGGTGCAGAAAAATATGATTCATATGTTTGGCCTGACATTGTGTGTTTAAACGCACATTTTTTTTTATCTACCATCTCCAATTCTCCACCTTACTAAGAGGGTTAAAGTGTCACTGTGTCATGTGACCATAAGCTATGCACAAATCATTCCCATAGATCTCACAACCCCAGCCTTCCTAAGCAGATGCTGTCCCCTGGTTGCTATGACAATGGCTGCCTGTAGCGTAAAAAAAAAAAAAAAAAAAAAAACCCCCCCCCAAAACTGTT